TCATTGGATATAGACAGAGAGTAAACCTAATTGAGATTTTGAGAATAAAGATATGTTTCTAGTTTCAGACTTAGGCTTTAAGAGCTAAGGAAGATTATAGAGATAATATATTCCGAACTCTTTATTTTTTGAATGAAGAAATGATTTGTCCAAGGTGCCCAGATCACTGGTTTAGGTGGTAAAACTGGAACCAGACTCAAGACCTACAGCCTGTTGACTCTTGTGCTCTTAGCACTCCCTCCTTGCCAACCCCAATGGCCCCAGAAGTTGAAGCCCTTAGATAACTCCTCAGAATCAAGTAAAGGCTTAGATGCACTGTTAAATAGAAACAGTGCTTCTCATTCGTTTTCTATCTATACCACACACGTGCATATTTGGAAGTCACAATCACATCCTTTTGTTCAGAAACTTCCACAAAAACAGAAACCTACACAACAGGTTCTAAATCCCTCAAATACTACATTATATGTCCACTTAAATAGAGGCAGTCACCCTCCTTAGCAACCCAAAGATACATGCATACAAATAAATTTACGTGTATGCAGCTATGTCAACGAGTGTTAATACAACTAAAATGTATTGATCCCCTGCTCTGAATACTGGACTAGAGACTGTGGGCAATACAAAGATGATAATAACAATTGCTAACATTTCTAAAGTACTTTCCTCACAACAATTTTGAATTGGTGTCACAGTATTGCAGACACTCAGAGCTGGGAGGGACCTTAGATGTCACCTAGAGCAGAAAGACAATTTATAAAATTCCTGCAAGTTGGCCCTTTGAAGAAAAAATTCAGGAAAGAGGAAACTCCAAATATCAATTGCTCTACAAGTTTTTCTATGGGACGGTTTTCCCCAATATACAGGTGGAGAAATTGAAGTTTAGAAAAATATAATGTCTTTCCAGGGGCCAGAGTGAGAACTGGCGCTCCAACCCAGGTCTTCTGACTTGAGCCTATGACTTTCTGCTACACCATGATATCTCAGAGAACTTACAATCCAAGGGAAGATGAACATCCAGTTGCTTCTGCAGTTCTATGGTCTTCAAGTTTGTGGTCTGAGTGCTTCTTTTTAGCCCTCCCTCTCGGCCCCATTGGCTGAAATGGCCTTTTTCCCTCTGCCAGGAGTTGTGTTACTGCTGAGCCTTTTGGACAGCATTAGGCAGGACAGGAAGCCCTTCAATTTGGCACCCACAGCGCTGACAGCCCAGCAGGCAGAGGGAGGGATAAGACTTGAATGCCCAAAGGAAGAGGAAAGGGAGGAAAAATAAAGAAAAGAGAGAGGAAAGGAAAGAAGTTGGGAGGTCTATCCATTTCGAACCCTAAAAATGGAAAGCCGGGCCTGAGAAAGTTCGGCTGGAGCTTTTCCCACCCAGCCACTAGGCGGCTTGAGCAGAAACCGACCCTTTGTGGGAGGAAAATGCAAAAAAAGGAAAAAGAAAGAAAAGTCTGTAACTCTATGCATTTGAACAACGGATCCTGAGAGCTCCAGAACGCCCCGGCCAGCTAAGAAACCTCCTCGGGACTTTACCAACAGTAAATATAGCGAGTGACTCCTCTGGGAGAAAGCTGTATCCAAGCAGCGGCTGGGCGCGCGCCTTTGAGCTCGCGCACACAGACACACACAGGCACACAGACACACAGACACACACAGAGACACACCACACACACACACACACACACACACACACACACACACACACCCCATCCCCCTGCAGGAAGCAAGTAGAAAGGAGGAAAGCGAAGCTTCTAAAAGGCCTCTTCCGAAGAGCTTCTGAAGCCATAGTGCTTTCTTTAATTACTGTTAGTTACACTTCTCCCCTGCATCCCTCCCACCGCATCTCCCCACCCCACCTCTCCTTGGTTTCCTTCACGCAGCGCAAGAGACCTCTCTGGCAAAGAGGTCTAGGACCGTACAGAGGGGGACACAGCTTCAAAGCAATAAGCTCAGCTTTATCCCTAGGTCTGGGGGCGAGATAACTCCCCCAGCACTGCCTCGGGCCTCAGCCTCTGCTCCCTCCCCTACCCGCCGGCAACTTCTGCGCTGAGGCTGGAGTAGCCCGTGAAGAATAGTGAGGTTACTAGCCCTGCGTACTCTGCTCATGGCTCAGCCGGCTGAAGGGAGGAGGTGTGAGGGCCTAGTTTTCTCATTTGATAGTCATAGACCCTTAGGACTTAAGAGCTGGAAAGAACCATAGACCTCGTTCTAGTCCAACACCTTCATTTTATAACGCCGTTCTATTGCCCTATGCTGAAGCTGCTGCTGCTGCTCATTTGGTTGTGTATTGAGTGGTGTCCAAGTTTCAGATGCTCTTTTTAGAGACCCTTGAACTGGATCTCTGCACATTCCTCCTCATATACAGGTGCAATTACGTGGAGTCAGACTCGTGCCCCGCCTCCCATCCCGCTACAGTCCGCTGCCTGCGGGCGGCTAAGTCTTAGCTCCTAAACCCTGGCGGGTAGCCATGCCTTCTGCAGCTGCTTGGCCAGACACAGGCTAGCCTCCTTCCCAGGCCAATTTGCGTACAGCAAAACCAAGAGATACGACACCCTCACTTGGGAATATTTTCCACACTGTGTTGGCGGGGAGGAGACGAACGCGTGTGTTTAGAAACCCAAACTTAAGGACAGTCATACTTACATTGTTAGCATATGAATTGCTCCTAAATGCACAAACCAGCAACTGCGCGCACAAAAGCACAATTGTTTGTGCATGTAGACATTGGTACATCAACACACACACCTAAAAGCACGGAAATGCGAAAATTAGACCCAGGAGTACAGAAATGGGCTCTTTCACACACACGCTCATTCATGGAGACTATGCATAGATTCTCGCGCACAAGCTAGCTTTCTCGAGGCACCCCCGACCCCATCCCAGCCAGATTGTCTATCTGACAGATTCTCCTAATTGAACTGTTATGGGTCATCATCATAACCGTTAGGCAACATATTTCCACGCTTCAGGTCTTAACGTTTTAAATACATATTTAACGGACGGTTTGCAGTGCCAGCTGCGAAACACACGGTTAGAAAAGCAATGCTTCAGAAAGAAGATACCAAGCTGAGGCGGGGAAGAGAACCTGCTGAGATTTTCGCAGAGAGTTGGGCCAAGGCAAAGGAGTAAATATTATGGCGGCAAGGTCTTCTCGTTCCCAAAGTTCTCAATATGCATTTGAATCCGATACATTTGTTAAACATCGTACTTTGTGAGTGTATGTTAATGTGCTAGGAAGTGCAAACTTAACAGGCCATATCTTACACCCACAAAGAAGTCCCCTGAAGCTGGAAGAAATAAACTTATAGTTTCATATATTGAATATACATTGGTCATGGCCTTAAAAATATTTTTTAACATGGAAAATAAAAGAAACTCAGAAACACGAAGACAGACAGCAGTCAACAAATTTCAAGCCAGAAAGAAGCTTTCCTTTTCATTGTAACAATTTTCTATAACTCGTGTGATTCTAAATGTGCCAAATCTAGAGAAAAGATAGGACTAGGTAGTAGGCTTGGGCAGAGCACAGTGATTTAGGAAGTAAGTGCCTTCTCCCAAGATAACCATTGTAAGGTTTCACTGATTTCTCCATGTGCCTGTAATGAAGAAGCTCTTAATCAGAAATGTTACCGGCATTCAGTTCCAAACTGTCAGCAATTTTTTATGTAGCCTCTCTCAAGACCTTTGAATCTCAGTTTCCTCATTTTTACAATGGATGGAAAAATATCTACCTTCAAGCTGCTTGGAGAGATTGTTCTGCAAATAGATCCTGTAGAGTTTTTTTTTTGTTTTTAAGCTTTCAAAGAAGTTAAATGTAGCCATGTAAAATTAGCAAGAGCCCGTTTGTACTATGTCTGAAAGAAGTTTATCTAGGCCTAAAAGATTTCAGGCTGAAGGCAAATAAATTTAATTGTTACTGCTTCTCACAATAGTGAAAATGCAGCGTACAACTCTTGTCTTGACTATTAATATATCCATGGTCAATATTCACTATATTTACAGTTGGTTGCTCTAACCGGCAAGGAAGTCTGGGACCGTGGGGAAACCTGGGAAAACTATGGGTTGTCTAACTTACATGCAAAATTCAGCATTCAAAAAATTCAGAATCTTTAGTATCCATCCATCCAGTCAGTCAACAAATACGTATCAAGTGCCTATGATTATTTAGTGTGATTAAAATTATCATGCCGAAAAAATAGGACAACGACTTTTTGAGATTTGGGCTTTCTTTCTAGACTATGCTAATAAACTCTGTCCATTCTCCCTGGATCTTTCCCTTCTTCCTTCTACTCCCAAAGGCACCGAGAGAGAAATATAAGTTTTCGGGAACCGGCAGATGGCTGGAGCGCGGCTGCTGCCTCCCAGACACGAGGTAAGTGCTTAAGTGTGGGATGAGTTGATTGCATTGTGCCTGGTGAGTGTTTACATTCGGAGAGAGAAAATACAGATGGGATTGTGAGAAACCTATTAAAACTCTCCAAATCTGCCCGAAACCAAGGGAAGATTCAGAAGAGGAGAGGGAGCCAGGATAAGACTGGGAGGGTGGGGACCAGAAGAGGTTAGTAAGGTATTTTTCAAAATGTTATTGTTGCTTACTTCAAGTTTGTTTGGTCCACGTCTCTCCTTCCCTACTTAGGCTAACAGCTGTTCCTAACAGTAATCATTGTTGTATTTTTATAGAGATTTGACAAAGCTTCTCTCTCTTCTTCCTTTCCTGCCTCCAGTTCTACCCTCCTTTTCTGTCCCTCCCTCCTTCTGTCCCTCTCTGCGACTCTACTTCTTGAAGACGTCCATTGGCTCGGGGGTGGGAAGAGGCGTGTGCCCGGGGTCCGTTTCATTGAGCGGAATTAGCCTGGATGACATCAGCTTCCCAGCCCCCTGACAGGACGGTGCTTATTGGTGCAGAGGCCCCTCCAGGACAATAACATTGTTCTCCTTCCCCCAACCCTCCTCCTCAACCTCGGCTGTTGCCGGCTGATGTGCCTATAAAAACCCTTCGAGACCCTAAAGGTGCTGAATATCATTACGGCTCTGACACAACGCCCATCGCCAAGCGCCCAGAGCGGATCCTGGCTTCCCTGGCTGCACCTTACTGTAGAGATCGCCTGGAAAAAAAAAAAAAACCTAGTAAGTGTCGGCCGCCAGTCAAACCTTCTCCCCACTCTCTACCCTCGCCTAACAGTTCCCCGCCCCCAATCCCACCTCTACTCGGATCTGTGACATCGATCCAGGGTAAATTATCAGTTTACTCAGCTCAGATCCGGAGTCTGGGGCTGAACTCAAGGCTAGATGTACCTAACCCAGAAGTAGAGGGTGGGGGGAGCACCCGCAGCACCCTTTTCTTCTACCCGGCTGACACTTCTGCCCTCATCCCACCCCCAAAAGCAACAAATAGGACAAGGAGTAGCAAATTGCTGCTTCTGCTTTTCCGTGTCCCTGTTACCTTGAGGAGTTAGCGGACAGGATAAAGAATAGAAAATGGAATGTGTGTGTGTGTGTGTGTGTGTGTGTGTGTGTGTGTGTGTGTGTGATGGGGGTGCTGGTAGGGGTTAACACAAAGGCAGCAAAATACTCTGCTGTTCAGATTAGGTTCCCCCGCTCCGTAAGGAAGAGTCCTCCTCTCTTATGACCCTTGCTCTTCCAGCCGACTGCCTCCACCTCTCTATCACTTAGGGTACTTAACTGCTTGAAACCTAATGCTTGTTCTCCCTCACTGACACGCAACTCTTCTCCTTTTCTCTACCAGTCGTCCCTCCCAACCCCAAGCACGCACACACATACTCTTAAGGTAAATCCCATGCACTGTACTGAAGAGCAGCTTGTAATGAGATCCACTATGGGAGAAATGGGGAATAATAAAGAGAAGGTTGCATACGTGGGGGTGGGGGAGAAACATAGTAGTTGTTCGTGTTTTGTATGTTGCCAAAAAGAGAGTAAAAGTTAGGCTAATGTGGGAAGATATTAAGCTTCCGGGGACTTCCTGCTACTGCTGCTTAGTTGTAGCGGGGAGTGAAATTTTTCTTTCACTGACTTTGTGTTTCTCTCTCTTGCCCTCTCCCCTCCTCCTCTCCGCAGGAGGCGTGCGAAGCGGCTTGGCGGGCAGTGACTCCGACTGTGAAAGAGGGAGTTCACCAAGAGACTCTGTGTGTGTGTGTGTTGTGTGTGTGTGTGTGTGTGTGTGCGTGTGGCGCCTGCCCAGGGGATATGGACTCCGATACCAGTCTGGTGTCCAGCCGCCCATCCTCACCGGAGACGGATGACATCTTCCTTACAGCGCGGAGCAAGGGTAGCGGCGGCGGCGGTGGCGGTGGCTTCTCCGGGGGCACTGTCTCCTCTTCTACACCAAACGATTGCCAGCCAGAACTAAGCGCGGAGCTTCGAAACGCCATGGGCGCGGCGGGCGTGCACCCGGGGGACAAGCTGGGCGGCGGCTGCTTTAAGTCTTCCTCCTCCACCACCTCTTCTTCCTCTTCCACCTCATCGTCTTCTTCGGTCGCATCTTCTACCAAGAAAGACAAGAAGCAGATGACAGAGCCGGAGCTACAGCAGCTTCGGCTCAAGATCAACAGCCGGGAGCGCAAACGGATGCACGACCTCAACATCGCCATGGACGGGCTTCGTGAAGTCATGCCGTACGCGCACGGGCCCTCGGTGCGCAAGCTCTCCAAGATCGCTACTCTTCTTCTGGCCCGCAACTACATCCTCATGCTTACCAACTCCTTAGAGGAAATGAAGCGGCTGGTCAGTGAGATCTACGGCGGCCACCACGCTGGTTTCCACCCCTCAGCCTGCGGGAGCTTGGCACATTCGGCGCCCCTGCAAGCAGCCGCTGCGCACCCAGCAGCGGCAGCAGCGCACGCCTCCCATCACCCCGCAGTGCATCACCCAATATTGCCGCCCGCTGCGGCGGCGGCAGCTGCAGCTGCCGCAGCCGCGGCCGTCTCCAGCGCCTCCCTTCCAGGCTCTGGCCTCTCAGCGGTCAGTTCTATCCGACCCCCGCATGGCTTGCTTAAGTCGCCCTCGGCATCCGTGGCCAACCCGTTGGGTAGTGGAGGGGGAGGCGGTGGCAGTTTCCAGCACTGGGGTGGGATGCCCTGCCCGTGTAGCATGTGTCAGGTGCCACCACCTCACCATCACGTTTCCGGTATGAGCACGACCAGCCTCCCCAGACTCACTTCCGACGCCAAATGAGATCAGCCAGAGCCAACTGAGGTTTTGGAAAGGGCCCTGAGTGGGGACGGAGAGAGTGAGGGGCAGAGTAGCTCCAGCTGTGGAACTGGAGAAAAAGGGAGAGAGGAAAAGATGAAGGACTCTAGACTGTGAATCTCCTAGGGACCGAAGAGACAGAGGCCCGAGTTGCAGGGGTCGGTGACCTTTTCCCTGTGGCCTTTGCCAGCCCTCCCGGACCTAAAAACAAAACAAAACACTCGTTTGATAAGGCAATTTAAAGAAGGCACTGGCAACTTCCACTTCTATGTTCCCTTTCTCTTCACCGGGCAAGACACTGTTTCTTCACTGCTCATTGAAGCTGAACAGGATCTGACAACACTTGGCGCCGATTTTTTTTATTTTCTTCTCTCCCTCCCCCAGTTTCTTCTCCCCATGGATCATTAGGTCAGAGACCCAGGAAAACTGAGACCGAGACGTGCTAAGATCTGGTTGCAACAGGCAGACTCGGACACATTCCTAATACGAGTTCTTAGTCTCCCCCTTGTAAAGGAGAAGTTGGAAGGCGGTATTCTGTACAGGGCATACTTGTTCTTTCCATTTTCAGTAATTGTGTACACCCACAACTCACCGTGAATCATGGCAATTTTTTCTTTGTTGTCGTTGTCGTTTTGTTTTGTTTTACCCAGGGTTGTTCTTGTCGTTCATTTGAGTTTTTTGTTATTGTTGTTGGCTTTTTAAAAAAATGTGAATTTTCTTTTTCAAAAGAGGAGACTTGGTAGGCAAAGTGAGAAGAGACGCTTTTGAACTGGAAGTAACCAAAAACGGCCAATGCCTTTTTGGTGGTTCTTAATTACATTTTTAGAAAGGCATTTTACTCCTCTCTTTCTACCTTTTCTGTTGCAGATCACAAAATGTGAAGGTGGTTTGGTTTCTTGGTTTCTTACCTGAAGTTCCACATCCGGTAGTTTGAAAGAACTAAAAAGTTGTTGCTGTAAATGTAGTAATTTTTGTTTGTTTTTTTTACAAAAGTTTCTCTTGTGAAGTTGTAAATATAATGTCAGATGATGAAATGTGTTCTTTTTTGCCGGAGCTTTCTGTTTCTACATGTGTGCTGTATGAAGCTCGTGTACGTCTGAGGTTTTCTTTTATTAATGTTTTCTTTAGGCCACATTTAACAAAGTTATGACAAACTTTCAGTGTGCTTTCTATGTCAAAACAGAACAGAACAGAATCCACATTACCTTGCTGTAATACTTAGTGCTGGGCTTCTTAGCATCTGCAATATAACACCATTTTTCTTATCGCTGCTCCCTGCAGAGATTTTATCATCTGTTTTATTTTTGTAAAAAAAAATGCTAAATAATATTTATTACTTGTTTGGTTGCGAAAACATAAAATAAATGATCAACTGTTGAAATTTTAAATAAAAAAACATTTTAAGTAAGTGGCAGTATTTTCCCATGTGTTTGTAATATGAGAAAGTTTCGGGAACCTATTGCACTGAAGTACACTGAGCACTCCATCCCTGGAATTGGTCAAATTTATCCAACATCCCTCACAGTTTGGGAAGATATAGTGAGGGGAGGCACTTCTCCAGATTAGATTTAGAGTTAAAAGGATCACAACTGAGTTTATGCTCCTTCAAATTCCAGTGACAAAACTAATTGACTAGGGTTATCATATAACTTTGTATGACATCCAAATGTCTTAAGATTTCGTGAGCATGGAAACAGATAACTAGAAGAGATGAAATTGATCACTTTTTGAAAAATAGCAAGAAGACCAAAAAGTGTTACTTTTTGGAGGTCAAGTTTGGTATTAAACCATCTTTTTGGTTCCCAGCACACCCTTCAGTTAGATTCACCTGGAGAGCTTCTGGGTCTCCGTTTTCCTTTTTTAGTTTCGTGACAATTCACTCATCAGTCAGTAGATGATTTAATAAATCTGAAATACAAATATGTAGAGGGAAACGTTATAACAACCACACAAAAAAAGTCTCATTGAATTCTTAACTTCTCTCTTCTTATTTTGGACCAGAAAACCACCTTTCTAGATCTATAGAATGAGTCTGTGGTTTCCCTCTCTTTTCTTCTTATCATATTTTAAAGAATTTGCCACAGAAGAATGTCCTTTCCCTTCTACCTCTGCCAGGTCCCAATTTTTCCTTTTGATTCAAGTGTAGTTTTTATATTCAGATTCCCCCAGACCAGTAGCCAAACAGGTTGGCAGATTCTCATTCCCTTTTTAAGGAGGATAAGGGAGGAATGTTATTTACTAGATAGGTAGGTAGATAGATAGATAGATAGATAGATAGATAGATAGATAGATAGATAGATAGATAGATAGATAGATAGATAACCTTTTAAATATTCATTTGTTTGATTCCCAAATTGTTTTCAAAGCTAAAATGATGCTGTTCTGAAGTACATGGGCTGTAGAATCTCACTAACCCACTGTCCTGCACATAGTATCTTCATAAATTTTGTTGTTGCTGCTGAGGCTGAAGATGGTGTTGGTGCCGAGCTTGTCTCTCGACTGCAGCCACTTCTTTCCCCTTACTCCATAGCACAGCCCTTGGTCAATCCTACCTTCTATTCTCAAGGAGTTAGCAATATGGGGGAGTAGGGAGGAGGAAAGAAACCAAACAAATACAGTAGGCAACCTAAGGAATTCCAAAGACATACATTAAAAGAATTTGATTCATCCAATAAAAGGATAAAGGAAAGCTCTTTACATCAGCCAGGTAACCCCAAACACAGCTCAATCATTCACTCTCCTAGCCCTGGTTAGCTGTACTTGTCTCTAGAACAGAAGAGTGAATATGTGGGAGGGTTTCCTTCCCTTAAAAATTCATTAGGACATGGGTGGGGAGGGAGGGCAGCGAGGTTTAAAACCACACATTGGGAACATTTGCTCCTTTTATGGAGAGGTTTTGTGTGGCTTTATTTCTTTTAAATAAATGCCATTTCTTTTAGCAGTAGGAAAACAAGTGACAAGGAGGCAGTTTGTGAACCAATTTGAAGGAAATGTTTTATTTTTAAGCAGCATTTTCAGAGAATGATTTAGGAGTCTAGGATGGCTCTCTGGTTTCAGAAGTATGGGTCCAAAGCTGGAGGCATTTTATCTTTCCAAGTGAACCATGTACCTTATTAGGGGGTGGCAGAGAAGGGGAGGGGAGTTTGGGCCAAGGAAAGGCAAGGAACAAGAGGAATGAAAGAGATTTAACTTTTCTCAGTGTTGCATTTTGAAAGGAAACTTGGAAAAATTCAAAAATATTCCTCCCTCGTTCTTCATTAATTATTCTATTGGCTGGAAAGAGATTGAGAGGGGGGTAGGGAAAGAAGGGGATCTAGGGAAATGAGAACTGATCTCTATTGTTTTGTTGTTTTTTTTCTATTGAGCTGTTTCTTGGCCCCTTCCTTGGGCTAGATAGGGTGGAAGTCAGGTTATTGAAGGGAAACAACACAGGCCCACCCAAGCTCCCTTCCAGCTTCCTTCCAATTCAGAGCAGCCTTCCTCAACTAAATAAAAAGAGACAAGGGTGTCCCGCCAGCACACACAAGACTGCCCTGCCTTAGCCAGCAAGTCCAGTGCCTCAGTCCTATTCTTTGAGCATCTCTGCAGAGCTGGGACTCTGCTTCTGGAGCAGCCCAGGCCCAGCCACCCAAGGTCTATAAGAAGTTGAAACTGGCTGAAGGAAGACTTCTGGAACCTCAACTGGGAAATGTTTGCCCATTCAGCATCTCCTCTTAGCTCCTCCTCTCAGCCCTTGGTATTCCTCCCATGGACTCTCTCTCTCTCTCTCTCTCTCTCTCTCTCTCTCTCTCTCTCTCTCTCTCTCTCTCTCTCTCTCTCTCTCTCTCTCTCCTTGTATGTGTGTGTGTGTGTGTCTCTCTCTCTCTATGTCTCTATGTCTGTGTGTCTTTGTCTGTCTGTCTGTCTATCTGTCTGTCTGTCTGTCTCTCTCTCTCTCCCCTCCCTCCAATGCTTTTCTTCAAATTATATCCAGGGCCCAGGGTCCAGCAGCCAAAGACTGGTTCACTTGACTAGGTGTTTATGTGTCTGTGTGGGAGTTGGAATGGAGGGAAAAGAAGGAAGGGGGCTTGTGGGAGGGGAGGAGTGCTTAACAGAGAAGACTTAGAGAACTGAAGGGTGCCTCAGCTAGTAATCTGTCAGGAGAGGGAAGGAAGTCCTGTGCTTTGTACTGAGGTGGGTGAAAGGGAACCCTTTGCAGCAACAGGCTCAGCCTCCAGCACAAGGACAGATGTGTGACCCCCATAGGTCTCCTCCACCAAATATCCTCTCCTTTACAGACTGACAGAGAGACTTACCTTCTTTATCGTCATCCCCACAGGCTCCCAGGACCACGGCAGGACATCCCATCTACCCTTGGAAGTTGATTAAGTGCACCTACAGGTCTGAACTCTAACATGTCCTGGGGGTATGTGCAGATGGAAATTATCCCCACTTTTCTCCAGGAGTCTTAAGCCTCTTGGATCTCCCAAGGGTAGCCACACTTCTCCTGGATCACTTGGAAGATTCTGAAGCAGCATTCTCAGAGGTTAGGTACATTGAATTCCACAAATCAGATTCCCCAGCTCTTGTGAAAACAAAGTTTCAGTACTGTTCAACTACTATATAATGATGATTTTTCAGGATTCCTATGGACAAAAAAATGTACATGGAGCAAAATAAGCAAGTAATTTATTTTCGGTAACCGTATCCATGTCTTAAAAAACAATTAGTAAACACTTCATAATGCAATTACTAAACAATGTCCTACAAATTCTAACTGGGGTAACAAGTGATAGAATCCATTAAATGTTCTCAGTCCTGCTGAGGATTTCCGGCAGCCTAGGAAGGCTAGGTGATTTTGAAGGTAGACTTTACTTCTTCAGGTACCCAGATACATCAAAAGCTGTCAGGCCCAGTACACTCTGGTTAACTTAGACCTTCCTCTGGGGCAGGAACCAACAAGAATCTTGACTTGGTTATACAACACCACAACAAGGTAAAGGAGGGATAAAAGGTCTAAGAAAATTAAGGGGGGATGGGAGGAAGAGTTATATTAATATGAGATGATATTTGTAAAGAGCTTAGTACAGTGCCTAATACATAGTTGATGCTTAATTATTTGCTCCCTTCCTCTTACCTCACACCCAAGCATCTATAAGGCTCTGAAGAAAAATCAGCCAACATTCTAACTCCCTCCCAATTGGTTTGTTTCCTCTAACTAGCATTTTTAGAGCTTTATCCTTTATTATATAATTTTGCCCTTATCCCTAAAAAATCCTAACTACAAACAATGTGTGTATACACATGTCTGTGTGTGCATGCACACACACACACACACACATATATAGAGACATAGATATAGATATACATCCATGCATATATAGTACTAACTACCATGATTCTTTGGGTTTGCCTATATTTAGTGAGGGCCTAACTTGTAGAAGAAAAAGTTGCTTTCCAGGAAAATAAGACCAGTAAGCTACTCTCTCCATAAACTTGTGAATAGGTAAAGTCTAAGTCTGAGCATGATGGAGAAACCATTGAAGTCACAAAGAGAGAGTCAAACTTCTTTACCCAAAGTCATAAATATATGCAGGAAAGGAACAACCAGTAGAAGCAGAGGCTCTAATCACCAAATCAAGGACCTTCTCTGTGTGGCTCAGCAGAATCATTTCTAATGAGTCAGATTTGGTTTGGTTAAGATGGACAAAACAAGAGAAACCTCTGCTTAAAGTCTTAGGACTACAAAAATGTCTCATTTGCAATTTATCGATATCTTCTTCAGGGGTGCCCAAAAGGAGGACCACTCCAGGGAAAGTAGAAATGGGAGTAAAATACGGACACACATGGCTTTGGAGTATGGTGTGGCTTGAGTTCTGGCTCTGCTACTTATATGATCTACTACCTAAATGATTTTGGGGTACTACTCCTTAACCTTTTTGGTCCCCACTTTCCTTGTCTGCAAAAATGTGTGGAATTGCACTAAATGACCTCTGAGACTTCTTCCAACCTAAATCTATTGTAGCAGGTTTGAGGGATAGGATGTGCCCCATGCGTAGCAAGTTGGAGAGAATTATATACTCTATACCACATGGAGCAAGATTATACAATCGGGAGTTAGGTCACATAAAACTGCAGATCACCTTAAGGTAATCTTGGCCCACTGCTTGACTCATTAAAACATAAAATTGTAGTGACATTTTTTTGAATACCCTGTTTGTTTAATTTCCTTTTCCTGAATTCTATATTGGTATATTTGGGTAATTTATTTCTTATAAATAAGGAGCAGCTAGGTGGCACAGTGGATAGAGCACCGGCCCTGGATTCAGGAGGACTTGAGTTCAAATCTGGCCTCAGACACATAACACTTACTAGCTGTGTGACTC